ACTAAGGCGCAAAGGAAGACCCACCATCCTCGCACACCTTCTCCAGGTTCCGATAGGGCGACTTTCTCCCCTGGACCATCGCTCTCACCCCCTCAAAGACGGCGGGATCACCATTACGATTATTCCCCTACGCATCGCTATTACAGATCCCCAAGGCGATCCATTACACCGCCTCGCTATCACCGCACATACTACTCGAGATCTCCGTATCATTACTCATACCGCTCACGATCCCCGCGATCTCCTCCTCGCTCCCATTACTATCGCCACAGGAGCGTCGCTTCTTACTCTCCGCAATATTCACACCGTGGTTCTCGCCATCGTATGCACACCTCGCCTCATTCTGATCGTTCACGTTCAGTCACAAGGTGCTCACCCTTGTCCCCAGACCAGCAACAATTATATTCGCCACGGCTGACTACCCAGGACTCTATTCCGCTGGCTCAACGCCCACCAACGCCTACCGGGGATGCGTCAACAACCTCTGCCCCGCATGACGATACCACTCAGTCGCCGGTGGCAGAGCACCAGCCCGTAGCCTCTCCGACAGATGCCGCTTCCTCTTCCCCGGATGATGCGGTGTTTAACAACGAACCTCCTCTTGCGGATGACTACAAGCAATTTCATGAACTTTTCAAACGGGTAGCACATTCACAAAACTTACGTACCTCTGGGGCACCACCAAAACACCATGCCCTCCTTAGAAACTTACAGCAGTCCAACAAGTCAAAACTAGCTCTCCCTTTCGATGCCGCTATCCTGGAAGTAGCTAATGACATCTGGCAAACCCCGGCATCTATACCCCCTACCAATAAACGCACGGACAGGAAATACTTTATTGATGCCAAAGACGCAGAATTTCTTTTTACTCACCCCGTACCAAATTCCATCGTTGTCGACGCAGCCCAACAAAAGGCAAGGTCCGCACAAGAGAGAAATTCCGCCGCGGACAAAGAAGCCAAGCGTCTGGACTTGCTCGGCAGAAAGGTATATTCGTCGGCAACAGCCACATTAAGGATGACAAACTACTCCGCCCATCTTGCCAACCATGACTTCGATAACTACTCGAAGTTGGTGCCGTTGATACAACATCTTCCACATTCCAAAAGGGACGTACTGAAATCCATTGTGCAGGAGGGTTACACAGTGGCCCGTAATGCACTCCAGATATCTCTGGATATTGCCGACTCAGCTTCCTGCACTACGGCGACATCGTTGATACAACATCTTCCACATTCCAAAAGGGACGTACTGAAATCCATTGTGCAGGAGGGTTACACAGTGGCCCGTAATGCACTCCAGATATCTCTGGATATTGCCGACTCAGCTTCCTGCACTACGGCGACATCAATCATCATGCGACGTGACTCTTGGCTCCACCTGGCTTCTGTGCCAAAAGATCTACAGCCTAAGGTGGAAGACCTTCCATTCGACCGAGCATCCCTGTTTGCCCAAAACACGGACCAAGTGTTTCATTCAGGAAAAGACTCTAGGAATACGTTAAGAACGCTAGGAATGTACACCCCACCCTTCAGGCGCAGGAGAGCTTGGCCGTATAACATGCGAAGAAAAGATGTAGACAAACTGGAGATTCCAGAGGAGAACAGCAAAAATGAGCTCTGAGGAAAGGTTAAAAAAATACCTGGGCATGTTTAACCTTGAGTCAAGAAGACCGAGGAGAGATCTGTCAACAATCTTCAGATGTGTTACGGTGCTGTTGTAAAGGAAATGGTGACCAGTTGTTCTCCTTGTCCAGTGGAGGGAACTTAATCTGTGGTAAGAGAGATTTAGGTTGGATATTAGGAAAATATTCTAACAATAATGGCAGTTACACTCTGGAACACAGATTCCAAGGGAAGTGGTTGAATCCCTCTCACTGGAGGTTTTTAGAACAGGTTGGATAAACACCTGTAGGGATGGTCTACATTTTCCTGGGCCTGACTTCACTTCAGAAATTCCTTCCAGGCCTGCATTTCTATGAATGATTGTGCTTATTTGGTGACTAGATAAGAGCTATTAATACACATTTTCAATAGGTTTGGATAAATCATGCAGTCTTTGAGACACAGGGCCTGATTCTGATCTTGCTGATCCTGGCTCTTATACCACTTTGAATGAAGGGACTTAGATGGAGTTGTTTCCTGATTTACACGCATGTAACTGACAGCAAAATCAGGCCCTTAACATCCATTTCAGCAAGCAACCTTGGCTATGAAATTTCTAGTGTCCTTTAAGAGTGATGACGTTTCCTAATGGATTTTTACTACTAATGCAAAAATTTTTACTACTCCATGCAAAATGGTGAGATAAGACAGTAGTTAAAGTAGTCATGTCCACTTTACCTTGGTTAAATCCTATTTGATTTAACCAAATTAATATCCTATTGGATTATACTACTTAATAATATTTATTACAGCATTTGAGTACTGCTTCATAACTTCAAAGTGACTTACAAAGATAATCTAATTAATCCTCACAGCACTTTTGTGAGGTAAATATGTACTGTCTCTTTGGAACAACAGTGTATAAAGGCAAAATCTTTTGCAATGAGGACTCTCAGTTATTGAGATAATATAGAATTTCTCCACACACAGGGAAATTGATAACAAATGGGCAAAAAAAGAAGATGGGGCTTTTGAAAATTTAACTAAGTGACTTAAACAATGGAAAAAGTTAAGGAACTTGGGAGTCTAAGTCACTTGTGTGTTCTCTAAAATTTGATACTCATTCTAATTAAAGCAAAAACACTAATGAGTTTAAACCAAGCATACAGATAAATTGTGTTTGAAGCAATATCTGTCTTTTAGTACCCTTAATATTTTTACAGGAAGCAGCAGTCATGTAGCTGTAGAGGTCAAACAGCAGAGTTCTTCTCCATCTGGGTTTGTGGTAGGCCATGCGGCCTCACTACACCCTTGTACATCATGCACACTCACCCATGGGGAATTAGCGGGATTACAAAGGAGTGTTTTCAGGGGGTTGAGCAATAAACACAGTTAAATAGCCCACACCACTGTGACAGACCGGGCCGTGTCTGGGCACAGCTGAAGGCGTCCGCTCAGGGCGAATTGTTCGAATCCGGGGCTCCTTACAGCCCCCAGACTGATGACCTCTCCACACAGGCCACAAACCAGTCCCACAGAGCGCTTCAGCAGCCTGCCTGAAGCCTCACGAGCAAAACCCCTCCGACACCCCAGCAATGTCCGTGCCCCAGATGGCCCCGGGCCTATACACAGGTGGGGGGGGTCCTAGCACCCAATCCCAACTACCCCGAACAAGTTCTGTCCGGTTTCAAGAAACCAGCCACAGATCCCTGGTCAATTTACCCTCTGGACCTTACCCACAAATCACACTGGGCCAATCCTTTAGAATCTATATCTAAAGGTTTATTATTACAATAAAGAAAAGCATGAGAGTAAGGTTATTAAAGTACAGTACGTTACATACACTGAATCTCCCAGTCCTCGATGCAGGCTCTAGCAGAGATGTTACAGCTGCTGGTTTAAGAGTTCTTATTGCACATCCTATCATCAGGATGGGTTCACAGGTCTTCCAGGCTCTTCGATCCCTGCAATGCTGCCTCTGGGATGAAGTGCTGAGCTGAGAACAAAATGGCATCGACCGCATGGCCTCTTTATACCTCCTTCCTGGCCTCTTCTGGTATGCAGCAGGTCACCTGGACAGAGGCCAATCTCTGTGTTTCCTGCTGGCTGCCCTCAGGTGACAAATCCCATTCTTTGGGTGTGTCCATAGCCTATTGAGAGTCATTGTTCCACAGGGCTTTGCTACTCAGCCTGTCCATAGCCATGCTTAACCACATTCACAGAAATATTCAGCTTCCACACAGATTACAGATTCCTACCTACACACATAGACATTATATACTCACATAAATAG